TGCAGCACCACACCAAGACTCCATCCTAGGCATTGGTGGTGGTGGTGGCTGTGTCCTGTGGAGTCGTTTCTGATTTGTAGCAACCCTGTACAGGGTTTCTGAGGCTGTAAATCTTTACAGAAGCAGAAACCCTCTTCTTTCTCCCGCATAACAACTGGTAGTTTCGAACTGCTGACCTTGAGGTTAGCAGCCTGACTTGTAACCACTACACTACGAGAGTTCCTTAACCCGGCATTAGTGAGTTGAAATAGACTGATATTGGCCATTTTGAATCTGACAATCACATGGTTTACTTGCCGGGAATGAAAAATTTAAGAGTAATGGTACCACATTCATCATCAAAAAGAACATTTCAAGATCTATCTTGAAGTACAGTATTATTTGTGATAGGATAATGTCCATATGACAACAAGTAAGACCAGTTAAGACCACTATTACTCAAATGTGCACACCAACCACTAAAGCCAGTGATGATGAAATTGAAAAATTCTACCAACTTCTTCAGTCTGAACTGATCAAACATGCAATCAAGATGTACTGGTGATTACTGATGATTGGAATGCAATGGTTATAAATAAAGAGGAAGGATCAGTGGTTGGTGATAGAAATGATGCTAGCGATTGCTTGATAAGAATTTTGCAAGTTCAATGACTTATTCACTACAAATACCTTTCTTAAACAACATAAAAGGCAATTTACAAATCGATCTCACCAGATGGAATACACAGGAACCAAACTGACAACATCTGTGGGAAGAGATGGTGGAAAAGCTCAATATCATTAACTAAAACAAGGTCAGGGGTCAACTATGGCACCTGACAACAAAAACATGGGCAAAATAGGAGTTCTGGTGTGGCGCTGTAGGATAAGCACTTGACAGCTAACCACAAAGTCGGCGGTTCACACCCACTAGCCACTCCTTGGAAATCCTATACAGGGTTGCTATGAATCAGAACTGATTTTGTGGCACTTAACAACAATGGGCAAAATATTGAATGATGCAGAAAGCATGAAAAAAAGATTGAAGAGTCACTGTACCAAAAAGAAATGGTCAATTTTCAATCATTTCAAGAGGTAGCCTATGCTCATGAACTTATGGTAGTGAAGGAAAAAGTCCAAGCTGCACTGAAGCCATCTGCAAAAAGACAAAGCTCCAGGAATTGATTTAATACAAATAGAAATCTTTCAACAAACTGATGCAGTACTGAGGTACTCACTCATCTATGAAAAGAAATTTGGAAGGCAATTAATTACCTGGCCAACCGACTGAAAGAGATCCATATTTGCACCCATTCCAAAAAGAGGTGTGGCCATATGTGGCCATGTGTGGCCCAACGGAATGCAGAAACCATCAGACAATATATCACATGCAAGCGATTGAAGGTAAATCGAAAAAGTCAGCGAATTGACAGAAACTCAAGCTGGATTCATAATGATGTAGAACTAGGAATATCATTGCTGATGTCAAATGGTTCTTGAGTGAAGGCAGAGAATACCAGAAAAATGTTTACTTGTGCTTTACTAAGTTAAGGCTTTTGACTGTGTGGATCATGAAAAGCTATGAATAACATTGCAAAGAACGGGTATTCCAAGACACTAGGTTGTGCTCATGAGGAACCTGTATATAGACCACCAGACTACATCAAAACAAGGGGATAGTGAATGGTTTAAAATCAGGAAAAGGTGTGCACCAGGGTTGTATTCTTTCATTATATTTATTCAATCTGTATGCCGAGCAAATAATTCAAAACTCTGAATTAAATTAAGATTTTATGAAGATATTATATGGATTGTATTAACAACCTGCAATATGCAGATGACCTAACCCTGCTGATTTGAAGTGAAGAGGACTTAAAATATTTACTGATGAAGGTCAAGACTACTGGCTTCAGTATGGATTACATCTCAATGTAAGGAAGATAAAATTCACAAGACCAATAAACATCATGATAAACAGAGGAAAAAATGTCAAAGACTTAATTTTGCTTGGATCCACTATCAACATGGAAACAAGTCAAGAAATCAAATCACATATGGCATTAAGGAAATCTGCTGGGCAAAATCTCTTTTTTGAAGTGTTCAAGAGCCAAGATGTCAGCTTGAGGACTAAGCTACGCCTGCCCCAAGCTTTTTCAGCACCCTCATATACGTGTGAAAGTTGGACAGTGAATAAGGAAGACGTAGAAGAATTGATACATTTGAGTTATAGTTTTGGAGGATATTATTAAAAGCACCAGGGACTGTCAGAAGAACAAACCAATCTGTGTTGAAAGTAGTACAGCCAGAATGCTCCCTAGAAGCAAGCATGCTCAGACTTTGCTTCTCATACTTAGGAGACGTTATCAAGAGGAAACAAGGAGCTCTGGTAGGTAGCGGAGAGGTTACCAGCGAACCTTAAGGTTAGGAGTTTGAATCTTTCTGAGTGGTTACCTGCGAACCTCAAGGTCAGCAGTTTGAATCTCGTAAAGATTTACAGCCTCGGATGAGTCAGAACCGACTCCACAGCACATCACCACCACCATCAGGAGGAAACAATCACTGGAGAAGGACATCATGTTTGGTACAGTGGAGGATCAGCGAAAAAGTGGACGATCCCTAACGAGATGGACAGGCACAGTGGCAGCCGATACTAATAATTGTGAGAAAGGCACAGGACAGTGCAGTGTTTCATTCTGTGGGTCACATGATTGGGAATCGACTTGACGACAATGAGGGGTTTCTTTTGGTTATAGACAGAGCACCACCTGGTAATGTCTCCCAAGCCAGGCACATTTGACTAAATTCTCATTAATATCCAGATCCCTTCCTCAATAGTCGGTCTCGCCTCCGTAAGTGGCATCACTAACCACATACGTTATCCACCATTTAGATAATTCGTCCTTACAGTTGCTTATGCCATCTAAGTAATCATCCGACTCCTCAGCACTCTCCCAAATACTACAGCCGATTACCTCTGCTCCACTTGATCTGCAGAGTGCTTACTTAGTCCATGCAATTTACCCTCCTGCCGGAACTTGTCCAGCTACCCTCTCCACTGGGCGATCGTGCTGCATCTTCCACAGGAAACTACCGCTCGCCCAGGCCCTCTGTCCCCTCCCTCAGGGGCCTGGCAGGAAGGCAACGGGCTCCTTCCTCTGACAAGCACCAGCAGATTCCATACGGCAGCACGATTGGACCCATCACAACAGACTTCGATTCTATTTTTTCGTGTTTTGCCTTTAAAATAAAAATTAGCAGTTAAAAACTGAAGGAAAACTACCCGACACGCAAAGGCTTCCAAAACCCCGCGCGACTTGATCACAAGTGAGCAGATTTTTCCCAGCTTTGGAATTCCCCAACACCTTGCCCGCGGCTCTACCCCCCCTCCCCCATCCCCGAGATCGCGGACCCACCCTCAGTTCCCCCCTCCCCAACGGCTCCACACACTGGAACATTCTAAACTTCTGCGCACGCGCTCTGCGCCGCCTAACGTCCCGGCATCGCCCTTTTCTAAATACGTATGGGAGTTCTCCGCCCCCACTCCTTAATGCTCTTCTAGTTCTTCCTTGGAGTGTCTTCGCAACAGACCTCTCATTGGTTGATGATGGAAGGAGGAGAAGCAACGATAGGGTAGGAGCCAGCCCAGGCCTTCCCGCAGTTTGCGTGGAAGGTGATTGGTCGGTGCTGTCGTCCAATCAGCATCGGGCTGTCGGATTCAAACCTGGATCGTTAGGCCCACGGTCGGTTGACCTCAGTTGTGTTGTTGCAGCGTCCCGGCGCTGGTATTTTTCTCTGCTGCTCCCTTTCTTTGCGTTCCTGACTCACCTTGCCCTGCTGCGCCACTGGCACGATGGCCCACAAGCAGATCTACTACTCGGACAAATACTTCGACGAGCATTATGAGTATCGGTGAGCTATCTGGAGGGCTCAGGCTCCCTGCGGAGCCCAGGGGAGATGTAGGACGCTCGGGCGGCCGAGTCTAGGCAGCCCCGATCCTCTTGCGTCTGAGCTCTGAGATCGGGACTGTGTAGCCTCTCAGCCTGTTTCTGCCCATTGTTCAGGTACTTTTGAAAAATAAAGGGGCTTTTTTTTTTGGAAGACCGCTTTCTTGTGGCCGGTTATTGAGTCAAAGCTACCAGGCTGGAAACAGGCGTAAAGCCTGCTGAGCAGCTTCGCCAACGGCTCCGGGAGGCCGTGGGGTCGGAGCCCAGCCGGGCATTCCCCCACGCCGTGCGGCCGCTCGGCTTTTTGCCTCCGAGCGGTCTGTAAGAGGCTCTGCTAACTTCCTGGCAGGCTTGCCGCGCATTCTCTGAGGCACCGCCCGAGTCCCGGAGAGCGGGACTAACGCAGCCGCAGTAGACGGCCGTGTGTTTTCCCGGTTGTAAAGTTAAACCCGCTGCCGTGGCGCCGACTCGGACTCTAAGCGGGCGGAGAGGGCCGAGTGGAGCTGCTCCGAAGGGTGTCGGGCGGGAGTTCGGGGCTGCCCGCGGTAAAGAGAATAAACTGCCTTTTAGCACAGAGATCCAAGGCTAGTCTCAGCCATGTCGATGGTTGGCTCGTAGGTAGACCCGGGCCTGAGCGAACGTGCTTACCCCAGCGCGCCACCAGGAAATGAGTGATTGCACCGAGAGGGAAAGCCCGAACCATTAGCTAAAATATTGCCTCCTGATTGGGACTCAAGACACAAGTCATTTCGAGAAATTGTCAAAGAGGCAACGTTTTGAAGCTAAATTGAGAACTTGGGCTGAGTTAGTAGATCTGGCTTTTTAAATTGCTAGTATTGGCCAAATAAACTTTTACCGTTAAGGAATAAATGCTTTTGCCTCGTGCACTAGGATATAGTTTGGGAAATAGCTAGCAAATTGGATTCGGCAAAGGGAGTTTAAGCAAAACTTGTTAGACTTAATTGTATGCAAGAGACTTGTCGGGGGTCCCAGCTTCAATAACCAGTTAAACCATTGTTTTACTGCTAAGAACTAGAACGTTGCATTCTGGGAAGGAACCAAAAAACGTAGGAGAGATAGGGACTTAGGTTCTCAGCCAAGTAAAGTAGCCTTGCTTTCTTCCTATCTTCTTACAGCACAACTGCAGAAATACATTCTGAGGGGACTGGGTGGCTCTGGAAAGTAAGCACTGGGACTGTGAATCCCCCACGTTGGTGGCTTGAGCCCACCAGCCACTCCATGGGAGAAAGCTAAGGCTTTCTGTTCTTACTAAGATTAACAATTTAAGAAACATTTACAGGGTCACTGAGTGACATCTGGGAAAGAAAGGTCATAGCCATGGGTGGTCTTTGCACCCCTTTCTCCAGTATCATGAAGTCTATTTTCACATGCAAAAAACTGGGAGTTTCTAGTAATAACGTAAATTTTTTCCCTTTGTTGTTAAGTGCCATTGTCTTTACTTTACTAGTGGCAAAAAAAATTTTTTTTAAACTGCCAAACAGGTTGATTCTGACTCATATGAAGCCTATGAATAGAACTGCCCCTTAGGGTTTATGAAGCAGACCTTTCTCCTGTTGTTGGTGGGTTTGATACAATAACCTTTTGGTTTGCCACCTAGTGCTTTAAGCATTGCACCACTAAGGGCACCTTTGTTGCTGTAGGATCAGCACTGGACAACAAACCACAAGGTCAGCAGTTAAAACTCACCAGCCGCTCCTCAGAAACTCCATATGAGGTCACTGAGTGGAAGCTGACACAATCAAGTAACTTGTGTCATTGGCGCCAGTCTAAAACTCAAAAATTCAAAAACCTGAAAACGTTTTTTGTAAACTTAACACAGTTCGTTTGTCTGCAAATGCATATTTCCCTTAATCTCTGGAAACATTCATTTTGAAAAATGTTTTTGATAAGGCCTGTATAAATTTCTAAAACAATATAAACATTAAGATACCTAGTAGTTATATTCTTTTAATATACCAGTATAATTACCTGATACTAGACTGTGCTTTCAAAATGTTGAAAACTGTACATTCAAAAAGTATAATATACAGAAGGAAATCTTCATAACTGCTATGCTACCAGAGTTCTTTAATGAAACAATATAGTATCTCATCTCCAGAGATATTTTTAATGGGAACTCTATACTGACAATAAACCACTGAGGAATGATTCTAGGGTGGTTTGTATATGGTGGTACAGCATCTGATACAAATGCTGTTAACTACATTTTGTATTGTTTGTTTTTGTTTTTCAGCCCTAGGTATTCTTGGAGGAGAGAATATACCAATGTTACCATTTAGTTGGGGGACCTTTTTATTCCCTTCCCTCTGTAACAGGTCCATGATACTGTTGGATTTGGAAATATAAATAGTTTGAAAGCTATCTACATGCCGTAAAATATAAGTAGAATTTCCATGTAGGCTTTAAGCTACTTAAAAATTGTTTCCTCATCAGACCTTGAAGAGCTTGTTTGCATGGTTTATGGAGAAGGTTGTTGTTGTTACGTGCCGTGGAGAAGGTAGTATATATTATATTCCAGAGGTTCAAGCCGGATTCAGAACAGTCCATGGAATGAGGGATGTCATTGCTGATGTCCAGTGGATCTTGGCTAAAAGCAGAGAAACATCAGAAAATGTTTACCTGTGCTTTATTGACTAAACAAAGTCTTTTGATTGTGTGGGTCATGACAAGCTGTGGACAACATTGCGAAGCATGAGTATTCTGGAACACTTAATTGTGCTCATGAGGAATCTGTACCTGGACCAAGAGGCAGTTGTTCACACAGAACATGGGAACACTGAATGGTTTAAAATTAGGAAAGATGTGCAACAAGGTTGTATTTTTTAACTATACTTATTCAACCTCTGTATGCTGAGCAAATAATCCAAGAAGCTGGGTTATATGAAGAAAAACATGGCTTAGAGGAAGACTCGTTAACAACCTGAGATATGCATATGATACAACCTTACTTGCTGAAAGTGAAGAGGATTTGAAACATTTACTGATGAAGATCAAAGAGCACAGCCTTCGATATGCATTACATCACAATGTAAAGAAAACAAACTTACCACTGGACCAATAAACAACATTCTTATCAATGGAGAAAAGATTGAAGCTGTCAAGGACTTCATTCTTCTTGGATCAACTATCAACACTCTCGGAAGCAGCAGTCAAGAAATCAAAGGACGTATTGCATTAGGTAAATCTGCTGCACAAGACCTTTTTAAAAGTGTTGAAGAGCAAAAATGTCAGCTTGAGGACTAAGGTGCGCCTGACCCAAGCCACGGTATTTTCAGTAATCTCATATGCATGCAAAAGCTGGAAAGTGAATAAGGAAGACCATAGAAGAATTGATGCTTTTGAGTTATGGTGTTGGAGGAGCATATTGCAAGGGAGATTGGGATGTTTTGGGTAACCATATGCCCAGTTTTTTTGTTGTTAAGTGCCATTGAGTCAGTTCTAACTCATAATGATTCTGTGTAGGGTTTCTGAGGATCCACTGGTGAGCTTGAACCGTCGACCTTGCTTTGCAGTCTGGCACATTATTCCACAGCGCCACACCAGGACTCCTCTGCCTAGTTTAGGCTCTGCCCGGTTTAGGAGACAGTAAATCTTGAGTGCAGATAGCTTTATCTTTCTCCCATGAAGTAGCTGGTGGGTGTGAACTGCTGACCTTGTTAGGCGTTAGCAGCCAAATGCCTAACCCACAGTGCAACCAGGGCTTCCTAAATGTGACTGTTGCTCCTGTTAAGTGCTGTCGTGTTGTTGCTGGTGGATTTGAACAAGTTTGACTTTGCTGTCCAGTGCTTACCCTACAGCACCACACCAGGACTCCAAACATAACCATGTTAAGTGCTGTTGAGTCAGTTCTGACTTCATAGACACCCCCGTATAGGGTTTCCTAGGAGTGGCTGGTAGATTTGAACTCACCTTGCAGTCTACTGCTTATCCTATAGCACTACACCAAGACTCCATAGAGTTGCTTTAAATAACTGAGTGTTTCAAGAATAAAACAATTTTAAATATCACAAAGATTTCTTGTGTAAAGTGATATTTCTATAGAACCCATGTTTACATAGAGCACTAACACTTGTATCTTTTCACAGGCATGTCATGTTACCCAGAGAGCTTTCCAAACAAGTACCCAAAACCCATCTAATGTCTGAAGAGGAGTGGAGGAGACTAGGTGTTCAACAAAGTCTAGGCTGGGTGCACTACATGATTCATGAGCCAGGTAAGTTTTGCAATTAATTAAAGTGTAACTGAATTAACGGGTAGTATTTAAAAACATTTTGCCATGAGTATATGATGTTGATGCCTTCTCTTTTCAAACTGAGAATTTTAAGACAAGGTGTTATATGCTGTCGACTTATTTCCAAATCATAGTAACCCTGTATACGGTTTCCAGGAGTGACTGGTGGATTCAAACCGTGAACCTTGTGGCTTAGCAGTGCAGTGTTTATCCTGCAGCAAGCACCACACCAGGACTGCATACATGAAAGTTGGAGTCACTTTGAGTGACTTAAAGGAGACTTCTGGTATGACACTGTAGGATAAGCAATCAATTGCAATGTTTGTGGTTCAAATTCACCAGGAACCTTATTACAGGATCGCTATGAGTCAGAACTGACTCAACAACAATGCTTTGAACAAGGAATCCTGGTGGTATAGTGGATTATAGACTGGACTGCTAATCTCAAATTCAGTAGTTCAAATCTACCAGTCACTGGTGGGAAAAAGATGTTTTCTCCTCCCGTAAAGGTTACACCCTCAGAAACCCTATACAGGGTCACTAAGAATTGGAACAGGCTTGGTGGCACACAACCACCACCACCAATTGCTTTGAAGAGAATGAGAAAGCATGCTGAATTAGGTAGAACTGAAACCATCTTGCTTTCATAAAATTTAGCCTTCTTAGGATTAGTATATAGAATCATAATAATTGTTCAAAAGATCTTTCTCCAGAAAATACAAAAACAACTAAGGTACTTAATTGTAGATTCCTGGGTCCTATCTACTGAAACAAAATTTTGGGGGATGGGCCCATGAATGATTTGCATTTTTATTAGCATACAGGTGTTTTTTTTAATGTATATAGGTAATATGTAGCTGATTTGAATAAGTTAACTCTTTCCATAAAGAGCTTTCCTTTGTGATGCTGTTGGATTAGAACTGAGCTGCTAATCACAAAGTCAGTGGTTCAAACCCACCAGCCACTTCTTAGAAACCCTATTTAGCATCACTAGATGGCACTTAACAACAATAAAGATACTACCCCTTTTTCTCCAGAGTGTTGTTGCTAAGTTCCATTCAGTCAGTTCAGACCCTGTGTAGGGTTTCCAAGGAGCTGCTGATGACTTTGAACCGCCACCCTTCCTGGTCCTCCAATGCTTAATCCTGCAGTGCCACACCAGGACTCCTTAACAATATTGATCATAGATTTACATTATTTTCTTTCCTTTCCACAGAACCGCATATTCTTCTCTTTAGACGACCTCTTCCAAAAGATCAACAAAAATGAAGCGTATCTGAGGATCACCAATGGGATAGTTTTCAAATTTAATGTATATGTGTATATATGGTAGTATTCAGTGAATACTTGAAAAATGTACAAATAATTCATCCATACCTGTGCATGAGCTGTATTCTTCACAGCAACAGAGCTCAGTTAAATGCAACTACAAGTAGATTGCTTTAAGGTGTTTAAACTTTTCTTCTAGTTAGTTTTTCTCTTAATTGAAAGTGCCTGTTGAACTTTACCTGTTACTTTTGTTTAATAATAAAGTTTTTATGTTGCATTTTGTCGCTGTTGGAAGTTATTGAATTATATTTTTTAAAGCTTGATATGATGGGAGTATTGTCATACTCTGGTGTGGCGCTGTGGGTTAATGCACCAGACAGCAAAGCCGTTTGGACTTTGGTTGGCAGTTCAAGCTTACCAGTTGCTCTGCAGAAACCCTATACAGGGTGCTATGGGTTGGAACCGACTCGATGGCACTTAACAGCAACTGGACAGAGGTGTGTCCGAGTGGCACAGGTTGGGATCCCAAAAAGCAAAAAAAGGCTACTTTGATCTTTCACTTGACATACAGACGATGGTTGGTGCCAAGGTTACACTGACAAACAGCGATATACCACATCTCTAAGATACATAGGGTGGGTGTTTATATACATACAGGGGAGCCAAGAGAAAAACAGCTAACCTATGATGGAAGGAGGCATTTTTGTACTAGTTAATAAGTCCCAATTGACGTTATCAGGAAGTCTGCATTTGGTGTGGTTTTTTTCTGTCCTATCTCATTGATTCATTCCCAGAGTCCTTTATAGGCAGAATCCATCTTGTGTTTGGGGCCCTCTCAAAGAATTTGGTCTATGTGAAGGGTAAGCACGTAATTTGACAAGCAGCTGGTTGTATGGCTCCATTTAACTTTGAAGAATCTTTATTATGTGTCTTTCAGTCAGTTCCAACCCATAGTGACCCTGTATAGGGTTTCCTAGGAGCAGCTGGTGAACTTGGAATCACCAACCTTGCTGTTCAAACAGACTTTGCAGTCCACTGCATTAACCCAGAACCAAGGAAATATTTAAAAGAGCCACAGTAGATTTTATAGCACATTCTCTTTGTTGTTAAATGTCTGAATCTGTACTGACTCATACCAACCCTGTATAGGGTTTCCTTGCAGAAAGTTTGGTTTAAACCACAAAGTTGGCAGTTCAAGCTCACCAGCTGCTACTTGGAGTTTCTAAAAAATGGCACACCACTTGAACAGGAAAGAAGCCCATTCTAAACTGCTTAATCTTTTTTTTTTTTAATTTAAGTTTTTTATTGTGGATTGAGTGAAAGTTCACAGGGCATATCATCAGTTCACATTCAACAATTCATATAACTTGTTTCATTACATTGATTATAATCCCCTCCATATACCATCAGTTAAAAGTATTTCTCTTTATCCACTTTAGCTTTTTTAAAAAAAGCACACACACACACACAAAAAAAACCCACTTAATCTCCAAGGGCACATTCTGCAAGTCTGCTTGCAGTTAATAGTCCTCTTAGTTGATGAATCTAGAGTCCTCAGCCGCTGCCCCTCTCCATACCCCCATCTCTGCCTCCATCTCTGGCGCTGCTGCTTCTCTGGATAAGGTCCCGCATTCTATTTGTGCTTTCCTCTCTTGATGGTCCTAGGGTCCTTTGTTTCTGGGCTTTAAGATTAGCCACTCCCCTTTTTTTCATTACAAAACTTCTACCTTTACAAGTGTGACAGTCGCTATTAGTCATGATAACAGTTATTCACTATTGAATCTTACAATCTTATCCCCATCTCTTTTCACCAGACCCATCTAGACAAGATGATAGCTATTCAATGGGGACTCTTTCTTTCCCCCAACCCTCATAAACTAAGCTCCCTCTTGAAATCTTGTAAGCCAGTCACTTCGTGCCTTTATTGTCCCCTCATTTTAGGTAGCCAATGTTTTAAGTTGCCTGTTCCTATCTACCCTGTGTACAGGGTGGATAGCATTGAAACTTGGTATTTAGAATAATTACCGTTCTGAGTATAAGGAGCTCTGGTAGCGTAGTGGTTACGAATCGGGCTGTGAACCTTAAGGTCAGCGATTCGAAACTACCAGCTGCTCCGCGGGAGAAAGATGAGG